TGGTACATAAAATAAAGAAAGTAATACACAATGATCTGCAACTAACCAATCGATATCGGTCCTTTCTTCACCAGCCATGCTTTCATGCGCTCTTCATCTTGTGGAAGCTGCACCGAGTCATTGATGTTAACTGCGATCTCCTGCATCACTGCTAGTTAGATTATCAATTAAAGCACAAAAGTAAAAAATGGGCTAGGTTCCGATGACGAGTGAGCAAACAAGGATAGAGACTGAAGAGACCCAGACAACTCAGAATAGAGACTGAGGAGACACAGACAACTCAGATCTGCCACAGGGTGAAAATCGTGTCGAGGAAATAACCGCCTCTTTACGACCTCCCTCCGAAACAGAGACTCTGATATGACCCCTTTTTGTCCTCTGCACATCCGGTTTCATATCAAAAAATGCTAGTAACAGATGTTCGAGAGGGACGCAGCGCCACTGCCACGCAAATGCGGTTTGATCCAAACGCTAGATTCAATTCTGCTCAGATTAGGTTCTCTCCCTTTCCTTAAAGACATTTAACCTTTGCCACATTGGCCGAAAAGTGGAACATTGAAGAAGGCACTGCTCCTACACGGTTGAACAGTCTCGCGCTCCAGTATAGCGGCGCTAACTACAGGTGATTGCGTCGTGCGCTGTGCCTAGAGCGCGCCAGTTGGAAAAATCGTCAAATGTAACCCCTATTTAAACGACTATAACTTTCTGTTAACCATTTCAGAAAGTGAAGGCAGCTTTTGAATTAACAAGACTTCTAGTTTCTAAATCGAGCTGAGCGTTTTTCTAAGCACACCTATTCTCGAGAGTGGGAGACGTCGAGAAATTGTCGAGGAAATTGAAATTTTCATGCGAGTTCCCACTCTTTGGAAGATAGTAGCTGTCCTTATTGGCAATGTTTTGAAGATCGGAGGAAAGCTTTGTGAAGTAGAAGATCTACGCTTTCTGATAGGTTTCCTAGTTGTTTCGAATGCTTTCTAGTTCGCGAGAAATCTGCGTCGAGGAAATGTCAAGGAAATTTTTGAAGCCACTTGAAAACTCTATTCCTCCCTCGCCGTAGTAGGAAACTTCTTCGAACACCTTCAAAATGCTTCTGTGCACGTCAGTTTGATGGAGTAAATTGAATTGATGCACTTGGCGCAAATCCATTCCGTTCTTGTATGCGCCATGCAGTGACCCCACTCAGAGTCATTGGGAAGGTGTTTTGTCCTGGTGGCGACTTGCTTAAGCAGACCAAAAGATATTTCCTGCATTAACTAATTAGAATAACTCTTGTGGTCATAGTGATGTCATCATTCCTTTATTTAAATCGCTTCCATTCCAACCCGTCCTGATGAATGACACGCTTGCGGTTGCAGGATCTGACGTTGCCAAGAAGGCTGCGAATCTGCCTGTCTTGAACTTTCTAACAGGATGCTGTTCCTCCACTAGGTTCTCGAAGCATGTACATCGTTTTAGAGAAAATTTTCGCTGCCCTTTCCCTACGACTTCTTGCAGGAAGCGTTGCCTCCTATGCCATACTGATCACCACGAACCAAACCAACAACCCCCTTCCATTTAAATCTTTAATTCCAGACAGTTGTAATATTTGCATTAGGCTGACTACAACACACTTGTGAAACTAATGTGAACACGCAAATAAGTGGCAGCAGCACCGGTTGTGTCCGTTGATGAATCTTTGACTCACCGGCGCCTCCCAATTCTCATCGGAGCAAGTACGACCCCCTGTCGAGGATTTCCTCGACCGTTTATTCACCCTGATCTGCCACGCGGCCGAACTGACAGCGTAAGACCTGTTTTGCATAGCATGAAGTTATCGGCTAAACGCGCCTCGAAAACTTTTGAAATCTTTGCCTTTATACTTTTCTGAAATACAAATACAGGTAGTGAACGTTGAAAGTATGCTTGAGCATCCACGCCCGTTCTCAATCAAGATATATGGAATAATCCTGTTCTGCAGTATCCGCATCCTGTGCCTACCAAATTACTTTTTGTGAAAATCTCAGAAGAATGCGAAATGGCCCACTACTCCTATATACCGGCGACTGCCTATATTGAGAATTAACACCAACTTGAACAATGAACTAACCGAGCGTTTGACTATGAACATTCTTTCCCTTACCATTGTACCGGGCTACGCGTCGTCGGTTCCAAAAACGCACATTCGATGATCTGCTCTGTAAGACCATCTAACATATATATAAACATATTATATAATATATATATATATAATAATAATTGTATATTATATATTGGCGGTGCATAACTGCCGCAGCGTTTCCTTTTCGGCTACGACTCCTAGCAATACAACGTAACACCCAAGAAACACATAAACCATTGAAAGGGCTTCTTCGCCCTACCCAATAGCTGTGTTTATCTTTATTTACCCTATTTTCCGGTGTGATAAGCCCCGCTAGTAATCATGTAAACACTCGCACTGGTGCAAGTGTACTTGAGTACATCTGTAGTCAACCGTAACATGCCGCAAAGGAGTAATTCGATAGCTGATCCCCGAAGAACGACAATTCGTTATAGCCGGTCGGCAATCTGGCGCGCCAGTGGCGCCACCTTGTCACGAACCCTTGCATTTCGCCAAAACCGGTGTAACTTCAGTAATAGGGGTTATTTGGACCCTGCTTACGAGAATAGACATTCGTTTTTGCCGACGTACGTTGTTTAGGTGCACCATGTCCTCCACCGGTTGGAGAGGCAGCAGACCGAGTGCACGAACAAATAGGCGTGCAAACAGGCCCGCAGCGCCTATACATGAATGCCATATTCGTAATCAGGCCCAAATTAACCTCTATACTGGAAGTTTATACGATTTCGACGAACCACAAGGGTCGTGACAAGGTGGCGCCCAACCTGGCGCCAGATGGCGCAAGCGCTAAAAACGAACTTCGCTTTCGTGATCAAGCATATCGAATTCCCTTATAGGCAAATTTGCGGCTGGTTTTCCAAGGTGTAAAAAGTTAAGTGCCACGAGCGGGGTGTTTTACGTGAAATCGGCGGCGGGCTTATACACCGAAATTAAGGCGTATTTATTTATTTTATTTATTTGATATAACTATTACATTAGCAACGAATTAAGGAGAACGTTATCAGGGACAGCACCATAGCGTTAACTAGTTTATTGTTTGGCATTTCTTCCATAACTGTAAGTGTGACGCTAAACGCTAAGTGATATGGCGCTTAGAAGTTGGAGAATCAAGGTGGGCAAAACTCCATATAGAAAGAAAGCTCCAATAATAAGTTATTTCGGAATCCATCTCATCATTGAACTCACTCCAGTCGACCCTTAATTTTCAATCAAAATTCACTCGTACCATATTGAAAAAATGAGGATTCTAGGAACGGGCTTCAGTACCCTTTTTTGATTTATAAACCTGGTAATTTCTTGCGAAATGACGATTCGTATTAAAAGCATCATTGTCTTAGCAGCTTTGGCTGGTTTCGCCAAAGGTTTTTGCCAAATGCGAGCGCCTACGATTATTATGCACCGACCGTGTAATGCCCTAACTATACTAAATCGCGCTATGTCTGTCTGTCCCGTCTGTCACGAAATTCGTATCAGCGCACCACAACAAGGGTCAGCGTTTTGATGTGGTATACCATACTTCCCTAGAAGTAAAAAACACACACACCAAGCGACGACAGAGCCCATGCCTACAGTGGGCGTGGCGTGCATGGTTGATTCAAATACAGCAAAAAATCAGCCTCCGAGACTGGAAAAATACGTCTTCCAGCGCTCAGGCAATTTCAACTTTACGTTTTTATGTGGATATAGTTCGTTTGAGCTACGCCCGTGTATTTAGCCATGTATCAAAAACTTTACTGCAGCCGCGTTTTACGTTAACGTTTGGTGTGAAATCGAGTTACTGTTATCCAGTAGAAGGTTGAAAACACGAGATGAGGAATACCTACGTGTTGCTATGAAGCCGAGAATTATACTTTGCGTAGGAAATCATTAACTGATGAAAGCTTTGCCATTTTTGTCGATGAGTTATGCAGAGATGGGCACCTACTCTCCATGACTCTATGTTTAAAAGAAAGGGGAATCAAGCCGGTGCAGCCGCTTCAGAAACATTAGTTGATTCGTTCGTCGGCGCGAGTAAACTACGATGTACCGAGCAGAAAGGCTAAAATCCAAAGACAAAACATACTGCATGGCCGGCCGAATACCGTGCAAGCCCGTCTCGTGCACGCGAATGCGTGCCAGCCACAAACTGGTTTATATATAATATAGATATTTGTTAAGCGGAATACATTCAATCATTAGCTTCCTGAAGGCACCCACCATTCAAGTGATGAGTTTGAGTGTTTGCGTAATAAAATGAACGTTAGTCGCGTGGTGGCCTGGTCCATCAGTCGATCGGTAAAAAAACCTATTGCGCAAGCATATCACTGCGAATTCCACGAAGATAAACGCTCGGGACCGCGCGGTACCCGACAAGAGGCCCGTCGGCGCGAGAACGGAAGCAGTGTGGCGTTGAAGTCGCCAGCACGTGAATGGACGAAGGACGTCACGACGATATGCTTCTATTTGGTTTTGATGGCCAATTCACATAGTACGCGCTGCGACTGGCTGCGTCACTTGGCTGCCTTTTCGGCGCCATGGCCTCCTGTCTGGGTACCCTCAGTCGCACACGGAAAGTGGCTATCCTAAAGTTAGGAACGAAGAAACATGGCGAAAAGGATTATCTTCGTCACTTAGCGAGAAAATGTCCTTCGAACACTATAAAATCACGTGCGCGCATAGCAACATTAGGGTTTGCTCCTCGCCATAATTTTATATCGCTATTCTTGCTTTGCCAATGGTAAAAACTACGGTAAAAAGCTTGGACAATAAATGTCTCGTAGTGACACGACCTCGTCATACGAATCAGCGCGCGATGTTATTTAAAGATATTATAACGTTTTTATGTTATTGGTGGAACAATAACAACCGCAACAAATGTTTTAGTTTTTTGACGCAATGACCAATTCAATCATGGAGTGTGCCTTTAAATTAGGCTCTTTATTGGGAATCCCACAAAGTTGTTCTGCCTTGGATCCTCCCGCACATTTCTCTGTCTCTGCTCCAGAGCGTACAAATGGGAGCCAACCGTCCACCACAGGAGACGTTGAGAACAGTATTTTTTCCATCTCTTTCTCTCACTCGAGTAGCTGTAGCAAGAAAATTTCAAAAAAAGGCAAAAAATAAACTCACTTGTAAGCGTTACTGGGCAATCCACCGTCACAGCCCTCATCAACTGTATCACAATCGACGAGCTGCTGTTCCGAAAGGGACACAAGCTTCTTTTTAGCCAGATACCACTGTCCTTCAATGTTTCCCGTGGTCGAAAAAGCCCAACAGCTTCCACAATTACCTAGAATTTCATCATTCTTCACGGTGGTAGCCGTAGATCAGACTTTGCCACGGAGGTTGTAAGTCACCTTAACTCTCTTCAAAAATTCTTGATCTGTTATCTACCTTTAGCTGATTTTAATCATTATTTTGAGTTCTGAAATGGCGACTAGGGCGATACCTTGATTTTTCACTTCTGTCACTGCACCGTGATCCCTCCAATCGAATGATTCTGGCAGTGGCTCCCTCGGATCCACCCCTTCGGCGGCTAGATTCACGATTCGGTTTGGATGCTCTGGCTGTTTCCATGTATACGGCAAGTAAATCTGTGACGAATATCGGGTTATTTGAGTAAATTTCTTGTTAAAAATTCCTTTGATTTTATGCTCCAGAATTAAAAATCAGAAAGAAGTGATGCAATTTCATATGATACTATGTATAAGTTTATCCGTGCCTCGAGACGCTGAGTTTATACCTCGTTTCAGCATTTGCAAAACGATTTCTCAAAAGAATTTATGAAGCAACGGTAGTGACCCCGACTTACGGACAGGAGTTCGCGGGATCGATTCCAATGTGGGCTTTGATCCTTTTCAGAATAGTAGCTAGAAAAGTTTTCAGCATCGATACTTCAACAGCGCTAGCCTCTTGTTGTTCGTATGAACGATCTTGAGATATTCCTTATGAGTTTGGGAGCTATCTGCTAACGACTGCAGATTGAACTGCAGGTAGACTTGAATATTGGCATGTGTAGGCAAGCAGTGATCTTGAAGTTGAAGGTTTTCTAGCCATATTTCTCAGAAGAGCAAAAGTGAAAGCTTACACTGAAGTGGATCCCACGGCCTCTTTGCTGTTTGACCGAATTATTCCAGCTGCGCTTTCTTACTCATAAATTTTTTTCAGAAACTCTTAAGCATATAACGAAAGATGATTTGAACTCAACATCACAAGGCACATATAAAAGAACCAGATCGGTCCCCCCGCAACCTCCGGGACCTCCTTACCTGCATAAGCTTTACTCCTTCCAATGTGCTCCCATCCACTGGTGACATGGACACCTCGTGGAGGTGGCACGCATGCACAAAAAAGTGTCTTATACAGTAGAAGGCATTACCGTAATCGTGACATGACCGTAGAATGATATTAATTGGACCTCAGGCCTTTTAGCGGTTAGCTCCCCTCGCCCTTCTCCGTCTTATCCTATTCCCTCTACTGCTCTCCAGCTGCTATTGCAGCAATATGCGGAATGAATGAGACCATGCTCAGTAGGTGTTTATATAGCCGTTGGGGGTGTTATCACATTGATAGCACTGCAAA